ATCTCAAGTCTTCTTATTTGGCTTTATTGAAACTTGGGAAATAAAAGGTGCCATACAGTACTAAAGCCATTTCTAAAACCAACATGATTTTATTACTCTGCCCACTCCCTTTGTCTAGGAAACCTTGGCCAGGCCTTCCCACTGTCTAATTTTCTAATTGGCCTTACTCTCTCAGCTATGGCTTGTTCAGATTGTTTTTTTTAACTAAGGAAAGCCCTAAACTGAAGGGGGGGGGGAGCCTTAAAGGCAAACAGTTCCTTTTTGAAAACAGAAAAAAGAGTCCTATTCAATGTGTGTGTGTACTGTATCTAGTAAGAAGCAGTGATTACACACACAAGTATAACTGGAAGAATTAATTCCCCAAAATAGAGGATAAGCAGCCTTTCCCAGTATTCTTTTGCTCACATTTCCCCTCCCACTGCTTCTTGGTAAAGGTCATTCAGCATGTTTGTATATTAATGAGCAGGCCTCAGAAACTTTCCGCAATAAATTAGGTTAGGAGTTTCAACTCTGTTTTCCACAATCCTTTATTTTGGCAAATTCTGAATAACATTTGTCTGGGGTAAGTATATAGGTTAATACTTTATAATGCAGGTTTCCATCAGAGAGAGACGTATTGTGGACTTTGCTTTATGAATAAGTAAATAATCAGTTTTGTGGAACTACAAGTGAAAAACCTTCCCAAGGACAGTCTCTGGTGTCAGTGGTTAAAAGTCCCAACTGTACAGTGCAGATACAGACAATCTGAAATACAGACATGAGTTGTTTTGGCTGTATGATTTTTGGCCTACTATGGATATGCTGTGCTCTCCAGAAGGGTAAGTTATTCAAGTAGAAGTAAACATTACTTTTTTTTTTAACAGGGGAAATGAATTGCTCTTCATATTTTTTAAGGCAATGCAGAGATAAATATCAAGTATTTCAAGTTGTTTTGTAAAGCAAGAACATGTCATGAGAAAATGTTGTGATTTGCAACATTTTGCATCTAAAACAGATATTAGAATCTTATGTTTCAGCTCATGTCCATTGGCTAAGTAATTGTGGTTAGATGCTTAATGATGTCTATTCAGCTTAGATTCTGTAATGTAATACACAAAGATACTTGATGGCTCTTTCTGAATTTTGCAATCGGTGCAGAACTCAAAGCAACTTCACTGTTAAGGATGGCTGTTCATCTGTTGTATTGAAAACAGTTGTGGCATCTTAAGGCATCTTTATTTTATTATAAACTTTGAAGTACTATATTCTACTTCAACAGATGCATTGTCTAATTGCCTGAGATATGTGTGGGTGTGGGTGTTTTATCATTAAATTAATAGTAAACAATGAGGTTAGATGGAAATGAAATGCAGATCATAGAGTGCTATGATACTTATGGCACATATCATTATAATGAATGTTTATAATTATAAGTAGCTGAAAGACTATTTATGTTGAAGATTCTCATCTGTCTTGCAGTTATTAGTTGGAATTGAGAAAGCTGTTTTAGTTAGTAGGTTTTGAAAGACCAACAAATTATTTGTTATATACTTTGTTGCAGTTGTACATAGTTTTTGATAGGGAGAAGTAGTTGCAAGGTTTTCGTGTGCCAAAATTATTTGGCTGGGTTTCAGTGCTATGTACTTTGACAAATGTAAACACACATATTATGCTTTTTCCAATTACAACCCCATGCATCTGAAGAAGTAGGTAACGTTTGTGAAAGTTTATGGCAGAATAACTCTTGCTAGTCATTAAGAAGCTTCAAATTATTTGTCACCAGTCCTTTTGCATTGTTTCCCAGTTGAGCACATGAAAATGGAGTTGTTATTCTTATATCTCAGTGCATAGTTGAAGAATATTAGTAGTGTTCATGATTGGGGCTGCACTTAACATTTTCTATGAGGGCAAGGGCCACCGTTGGTGAGACAATAATGCAAAATGGGAACTGCTGTGTCACACGTGTGGTCAAGGGCCAGGATCTCTGTGTGTGTACAGGTGTGTGGAGTGGGGTTCTTCTTTTCACTTTATTTTGAATAATTATTTAAGCATATATGAGGGGAGACCAGACCACTGATTTTAAACAATGTCGTTTGGGGGGTGTGTGCAGCCTTGGAGCTAGCTAACAGATTGGCATCTCTTGTGGGGTTCTTTGTTTGATCCCTACTACTGCTTGTTGGGTACAAATATGAAGTTATTGAGCAAGTGCTGGGGAAAAGCCAGAGCAATAAGAAACTCATTGAGATCAGGCAGCTTTCATGGTCATGGTCAAATATACTGTATATCCTAAGAACAGCAGTCAGGAAAGAGTGTTAGTAACTCAGCATTTACTAGCTGTGACTCATGGCAAAGGAAAAAGCCACACTATTATTCCTGATCTGCAATCTTCTCCTTTCCAAAACAGCTGAAAAAACCTACATAGAAAGGAAAAAGGGGAACGAACAGTTTCGCAGAAAGTGTGCTCAACTAATATTGAAATGGATCCAGACTTTGAAATTAATGAAATTTAAGTTTTAGATAACAGTTTCATTCATTGATTTCAATGTGACTGCAAGTAGTCTAACTGAAAAAAAGATTCTCTCTGAGAATCAATTACTATGAGCTGATGTTTCTCGGTGGTACTTAGAAGGACAAATAAATGGTTCTGTAATAGAATCTAATTATGTTTTCCTCCTCAGAAACAACCACTTATTTGTCTTCAAAAAGTGCACCATATTCCCTTTCTCGAAAAATGAGAATGGGAAGTAGCCATTACATTTGCATTTTGCAGAAGATGAATTACAGACAGGCAAGGAACGATTTACTCTCAAAGAAATGGCAGGGCTTATCAATACAGAAAAAGATTCTAAACATTAATAGAAATTAAGCTCCCTCTAAAGTTGGTATCATTGAACTTTAGTACCTCCTTTTTTGCATTCCACATTGCTCTTTCAGTATCCCAGCAGAGGCAAGTTGCATATGAGGACTTGGTCAATCTACTTACTGAACCAGGTAAGATACAAACTCTACTAGCCTGTAATACAAAAAATTGAATTCCAGTCAGGGCATTATACAAGATACATCTCTGTGCGCTTTTTAAAAATTTGAGCAAGTAAAGAAATATGTATCCGTAATATATTCTCCACAATCTCGAGCTCAGGTTGTCATTTATACATCCATATACCATGTATCATGGGCAAATCTATATATACACATATATACAAACACAAGGTGGCAAACATGCCTAATACTCCTGCATCCTATGTGGAGGGTTGACCTGAGAAAAAGTAACTGGCCCAAAGTCACCCAGCTGGCTTCCATTTCACTAAAAGTATCCTGTTTTCTAGGCTACCATCTTAACCACTACACCAAACTGGCTTTCCACTGAATGTCCACTGAAATCCATAGGACTTTCCAATCCCAATTATTGAAAAAATTCCAGTAAATCTGAATCCAGCCCGCCCAATTTGTTGTATTTTTAGTATGGGAGGAACATACCTCTAAAGTGTATATTACAATGGTATTGTTTCATGCTAATAAAATGGCAATGGGCTATCAGTAATGTGAATTTCTGGATCATAAATCTTCATAAGTGTGATATTTTGTCTTTATCTAGGAACTATTGATGACATTAAATTTGTGTATTGTCATTTAAGAAAGGTAGTCTTTTTGTGTCTTATGAAAATATCCTAACTCTACAATGTTTTGATTTTCACAAATGTAATTAATTCTGTTAGTTCAGTATTATCATTAATTAGTTAAGAATTCATTTTAAAAAATTACCTCACTGTAAAAAAAAAATAATCTTGACTTTAAAAATATGCACAGGCAATAGACAACATACACTTATATTATACCTGGCAATGTTAATTCAGAAAAAATGTAGATTTCCATAAAAACAAACAAACAAAAATTAGATTTACATGTCTTCTACAGCACATCTACTTGCATTGACAAGCAGATATATTTCTAGTCCTGTTACATGAGATTCTGTTAACCTGAGATGGCTGGAATAGAAAGTAGAATCATAACTAATTCTATAACTGAGCTATGGCTCCTCTCCAGAAAAATATGACCTAATACCATGCAGAATTCACAACAGAAATGGGGGAGAAAATGGGGGATAGTAGGTAGAAATTATAACTGATTATTTAACCTTCCTAGGTGAAATGCTGGGTAAAGTGGGAGATATATATTGTATATTTCATTCTGTTTCTTTCATGGTCTTATACAGTACCATGGTATATGGGATCTGACATTATTTGTTAGTCAGTCTAATATAGCCATTTATTTAATATTTTAATATTTTAATTATAGAGATTCCAGCAAGTTGTGGTCCTCCACCTGTTATTGGTAATGCATTGCTTCTAGCCAACCAAAGACAGGAATTCTTATCAGGTGAAACTGTGATATATCAGTGCTACAGGCTGTATGAAATGGAGGGCACTCCAGTTGCAAGGTGTAAGAATGGTCATTGGAGAGGTGTGCCAAGATGTGTTCGTAAGTATAACATTTAAAACTCTAATAATTCTTGTTGTGATGGCAAAATATCTTTCTTATAAGAAAAATACTTATGGCAAAAATGGCCCTTTTCTGTGATATCCTTGCGAGGCCAGGCCACATGATATCAGAGGTTGAGGGCAGCAATATCATGAAATGCAAAACTTTACAATATTTTCCTGGAAAAAAAAATGCACTACTTCATGAAATAAAAAAAACATATGCAATCAAGAAGATTGTGGAATAGAAGTTAAATTTATTCTTTGCTTCTTGGGAGTGTAGCCATTTTAAATGAAGACTGGCAAAACTCCTTAGCCTTCCCCTGGGTTATATTGTTTTAGTTACATTAGAATGTGATACATATATTAAATTTGATAGACATGGATCCCATCGTTATAGTATACAGTATGTAGCATACAGTCAAAGAAAAGACTTTTGTTAAAATGCTATCTCAGCCATACTGTTTAGTATTGTGAGACAACTTCCTCAAGCAATCACAGATAGTCCTCATTTAGTGATTTCCTCATTTGGCAACTGTTCACAGTTACGGCAGTGATGAAAAAGTAACTTTGTGACCAATCCTCGCATTTACAATCTTCACAGGTCTGTAAAGCAAAGGAAAGCTGAAGTAAGATCATAAGCACAATCATGGTCTCACTTAGTGACCACTTTGATTAATGACCAAGTTGCCAGTCCCATTATGATTGCTAAATGGGACTACCTGTAGTTTGGCAGCATCATGGAAAGGCAGCGAATGGACAATGTCACTACTCCACCCCTAGGCTAGATAGGCCTTTCACATTCTTACCTCCAAGATCTAGTCAATACGCCTAGAAAACTGAGAACAGGAAATACATAAAGACTTATGCCTGTAGCAGGCTTCCTTCCTGTAGATGGAGAACCTAATCTGCAGATAGAATCAACATTTCTTACAGGAAACCATGAAAAGACTCACAGACATGTATACTAAATATAAAGACAACTAAGAAAACAATTCCCTCCCGTGCTTTAGAGAAAGGCAATATACATATTACAATATAGATAAATATGCTTCTATAGTAGCAGCACCACTGAAATGAAATGATGTGTATCTGCTTTTATTCCCAGATGCCAAACTGATAACATTTCAGTAAGTTACCAAAGTGTATTATCACAATGCTACAGTTTGGCCCTGGACCCCAAATGCTCCTGGAGGAACCTGATTTTCTAGGTCTGTTTCAGTCCAATTTCAGGCCAGGCTTTGGTTAGATAGGATTGGATGATCTGCTAAGGAAACAGATGTTGGGCAATTTTCATTGCTCAGGCTCTTGGATATCTTTGAGGGCTTTGATACTATCAATCATGGAATTCTTCTGCCCTGTCTTTGAGAATTGACATTGGAGGACTTCTGCTCAATCCATGGTCTTTGGATTATGGGATGCCACAAGGTTAAATTCTATCCCCAATTAACTTTTTTGGGGTGGGTGAGAGTGATTGTAAGGGTAGTATATCTGGGTGCCATCTTAATGTTGATAGTACCCAGGACTATTTCTCTTTTCTATCACTGCCAATGGTGCCAAGTTCCTGAATTGGCTCTCATCTGGACTGCATTGTAGTCTGGGTAAATTGTAACAGATTGAAACTGAATCCAGATAAATCTGAGGGTTTGGTGCTTGGGGGAACTCTCAGTCAATTTGAGGGAGCCTTCCCTGCCCCTGAAGGGATATTCTTCCATTATGGGATCAAGACCAGGGAATAATCCTAGATTCTACTATTCTGCCTTCAAGTACACCTGGGTTATTTCAATTTAAAGATAAATATATTTATGTATTCTTCAGAAACCTGTAGAGCTGATAAAGCTGATATGGACCACAACAATATTCAACTGAGATGGATAACTAAGTCAACCTCCATGACAGCGTCAGATTATTGGATGGAGTTTGAGTGTAAAATGGGATTTCATAAGCACCCATTTTCATCACCATTTATGAAACAATGTGTAAAGGGACCATGGGTGTACCCTAGATGTGTTTAATAGTGTGAGTATTTCCTAGTTCAGCTATAGAAAATTCACACGTACTCAAAAGGTTAATAACCTTATCCTTGTATGATGGTGTGTAACTGCCTGAATGTTTTAAAAATCAGAAAGAAAAAATGATGTGGCAAATTGTGATGATCCTTACCCTACCTGCTGCCATCTCCTGCTATTGGTGATAATTTGTGGGCTCTCTGGGCTTTGGAGATCTCAGAGTTGAAACTTAAGTGACCTACATTAGGAACTAACAGTCTTCCTTTCTTTATCCTCTTCTCAGAAGCACAATTACTGTTCATGTCTCCTATCTAATCAGAGCTCCCCACACCTTCTTGATAACTAATGATTTATGGACCTGGAATGACTTAAGAAGTTGTGTCCCATCTGGAAGTCCCATCTGAGGGAGGGATCACAATACATCACTCTACCAATCCACTTTTCCACTGTAGACTACTGTAAACTTACTTTAGAATCCTAGAATTGTGCATAGGTCTGCAGTTCCCAAACTGAAATGAAAACTGAATGATGAAAACTCCTTAATCTCACAACACATGGACAGACTGAACCATAGTTTCAACTGGGAAACTGTCAGCATTTTAG